GGGAAAGAAATAAAAAACTGAAAAAAACATATCCAAAGTACATATTTTTGTTAAGAAGCTTAGTTATTAGCCTCCTTGTGAATTTCCTGACCCTTTAGGTATGTGGGGGGTGGAGCAACTTTTACCACAAAAAAAAAAATGTTTTCTTGGAATTGTTTACAGGACATGGCTGGCAAATATCTGGCTTTACTACTTTTACAATTCAAGTTTTTATCTAAATGAAGAAAATTTGACTGATGCTCTCAAGCAAGATATATACATGTATACCGGTATATTTCCAAATTATGTTCTTTCAAACTGATTGTACAATTATTCAACTGAAGCCCCCAAAAGCCCCCTAGCTGGTGACAACAAGTCACAAAGTACATCACGAACCTTGGTGAGAACTATCACTTTTAAAATGGCAAATAAAATGGTTATTTTAAATAGATATGTGTGCTTGCCCCTCAGTAGAAAATAGTACAAGCAAAATTCAATAACTTTTTTTAAATACACGTTTCTTAAGTCATGTACTCAGAGACATTGCCCAGCTTTAAAGCAGGTCCCTAAAACGTATAATACCTCTCTTGATTTTAGAGTACTACTATGAAGAGGGTAAAAGTTTAAACACAGCTTACTTAACAGGCCAAATATTGACCTTTTGTGGAAGTTTAAAAAGTTCTTAGTTTTGTAAACTCCTTCTAGTGATTTGGACTACTACTTATTGTAATCTTGATTTGACATCATTGGTGCACCCAAGAAGCTTGGACTAAGTACACAGTTAAAGAGATGAAAGGGGTTTCAACTCTGTGCTCTGCATTGGGCCAGTTCACACAAAGACTGATTCGTGAGATTCATTTTTTTTTTACCTGAATTGCGATCCAAATCTTACATATTCTGAATGTGAACGTATAGTCTCGTTTTAAAGTGAGACTGCATCAGGATTCAAATCTCAAATTTTGGGCTTTTTTGTGAAAGACTGTGAGGGAGAGAGCACATACAGATAAACAACAGAGAATCATTCAAAGGATGAGACCTGCACCCCCCCCCCCTCGCATAAAATCTACCACTGATAGACTGAAACTACCATGGCAACATCACTTAACAGCCAATCAAATCAAGGTTTCCAGGGAACTTACCATCAATGGTAAAGTTTTATGACACAGGGCCCTTGTTCACCTCCTTCCCTTCATTAGCCTCACCAGAATTATCATACATTGATGGGGGCACAGGACACTGACAGGGGGTGACACACAAAATCACCTGCAAACACCTAGAATAGGGGGCTATGGACCCCTTGTGGCCCCTGGCTACGATTGTGCCTCCCTTGAGAAAAAGACAGCTTGAATCCTTTTTTTACAATACTTTTAGGGAAGCCTAGATTTTTAACAGCAGTACCTTGTATAAGAGTTCTGTCTGCTTGCTACAGCTGGCCCATGTATCTAGGTCAGAAATTGAGTGATATATAAGTGATTAAGCCCATTGTTAATCCTCTAAGATATCTGTCTACTGGTCAATGAATCACTGACTATTTCATCAAGTTTGTCTAATAAGCGATCATGGCCAAAAGTATACACTCTATAGTCTAAAGGGCTTTTACCTTACTTTTTTGTAGATAGTGCAAACAAAATAGAGCAGTGAGGTATTCAATTTTCAAAAGCTATATCCTCTATTAAAAACATGTAATCTTCTTATAATAACAACGGTCCTTTTTCATTTGCTGTAATAAAGTGAGTAGCTTAGTCCTAACAGCAATTCTCATGAATGTCACCAGAGCTGTTTTTGCAGGGTTCTTTATGAAGCCTTCAAGAACTTGATCATTCATCAAAGCTTCATGTAATTTGTGTGTGGTGCTTTTGCCTCAAAAGATTTTTAAATGGCTGATTGGTTGTGTTTGAGACTAATCCAAAATAAAAAATTATATTTAATCACACCTGCTTACGAATGCAATCAATAAATCCAGTTATTATTCTGTACATATATACTCTAATCTTTAGCAATATTTTTAATTTCTATTATGGTAATACCCTCAATATTTTATCTCTTGTTCGCTAATTTATCATTTTCATCTTTTTGACCACACATACATTCACAATCGGAGTCAAATGCCATGCAGATGTGCAAGCATGACTTGTACAACATGTAACAAAATTCTCCTCACTCATAGTAATTCATTCACTATGCATTTGTCCACATGTGTCTTCAATATCTTGGATGTTCAAGTCAATTATGGAAACCTTTAATTTCATAATTCAATCATTAATATAGTAATGAGGCTCAGATGTACATGTAGCGAGCCAAGATATATGTCTCTGTGGTTTGCATGTAATCTGAGGCATATGCGGCTCCTGATTTTATCCCAAATAGTAGTAGTAGGCCAACTTTACATGATTTATTAATATTACAGTACACTTATTCCACTCTTCTCTCCCTTTTTATGTTTCCCCCTTTCTCTCTATCAAATATGAAAATATGATGTTGATATTATGTACTACCTCCAACAGTAATCCCCCTAACTCTCTCTCTCTCTCTCTCTCTCTCTCTAAATATATATATATATATATATATATATCTCACTCTCACTCTCATCCGTTTAAAAAAAATTCTAGTAGAAAGTATAACTAGACATTACTTTTCCTCCATTTCTACATTTGCAAAGTGTCAGCCACTATTCATCAAGGATTTGCTTGTTAAGTATAACTTGCATTCAATTTGAAAAACCTGAAAGGAATTCTAAACCGTAACCCACTGACACCTAACTTGGTAAACAAAGATTAATTTTCACTCATGACAGTTGACATGAAATTAGATATGAAACCTTATATCAACTATCCCCCTCCCCTATTTAATTTTGTAATGGCATCCGTTTTAGCTTGGCTATTCATCCTTTTATTTGGTTGTATTAAATCACTAGAATTAATATCTCTGAGCTTTAAAGGGCCACTGTTTTCACAAACTATCCACACCCTGAAAATCAGATTTATTTCCCTTTACTGTAAATATGATGTAAACTGAAAAGCTCATAAGATGACAAATTGAAAATATTTGCCATGCTGTGGGCAGCATTTTATAATGAGTATTCATTGGAGGATTCGGAAGGTAAGCGGGGGCAATGCTCCCCCTCCCCCACCTGACACTACCTCAGCTGAAATGTGAACAAATATCAAAGTCATTTGAAGAGTATTCCAAAACCACATTTCAAGTTAATCTTCTGACTACATGATATATGTAATTCTACTATTGGCAAGCATTTTGTGGGTGAGCTCTCATTTAATTATGAGGCATGCTTCTCACCCCTTATTTTACCCTTGACCCTCCTTACTTTACCTTTAAATGCAAATGGTTGCAAGAAATAGTTTCCCGCTAGCAGGAAACATATCTACATAGTACATAATGACTCAGTTAATTGATCATACTCCACTACGGAAAGCAACATATAGCGCACAGCCAGCATGTCAAAGAAATGCAGGAAATAATTAAGAAAAAATTTAGAGTCCTCTTACAAGATAGTGTTGTCCAAACCTATCAAAAATATATTTTTAAACATATGGACAATGAACTAGTTTTCTTCATGTATTCAAATTAAATGAAAAGGGAGCGACATATTTGTACAAAATATTTCAACCTTTTTCACAAACATTTTCATCTTGAACCTGAAGATCTGCTCCATCACCAAATTGAGCATTCTCTCTCTCTCTCTCTCTCTCTCTCTCTCTCTCTCTCTCTTTCCTTGTATATATATATATCTCTCTCTCTCTCTCCCCCCCTCTCTCTCTCTCCCTTTCCTTGTATCTCTCTCTCTCTCTCTCTCTCTCTCTCTCTGTTTCTGTCTCTCTCCGTCTCTCTCCTGCTCTATAATCTCTTCCTTCCTCTAATCATACATCTTTCTCCCACCCCTTTCTCACCTGCCACAGAGTCTAGGTGTTCCCTGTGCCCTTTACCAATCCCACCTCTTAATATCCACCCATTGAGTCCAATTTATTTTCATTCAGGTGGGCGGATAGCATTCAAGAGAAAAGCCAATATCTAGCTGGCCTGGCATTTGGAATAGAATGTGCAAGACTCTCTGATGATCTTGGATACCCTGCCTGACCGTTGCATGTGCACACATAATAATGTTGATTATATGTGCGCTCTAAAAACTAAGTATCAAGTCACCATTTAGAAGGCCTGAGGAATGACAGCATTTTCAAATGTTGTATCTCACTATTTAGTTAGATCCCATACTAAAGAGGTTGCAGCATGTCAAAAATTTGAATCTACCATTTTGCAAATACTGTCATTTTATAAATGGATAACTTCTCTTTTACGTGTTGATTTCTAGCACTTTGGTTTTCAGTGTGCTATCCAGGGGAATGGTTCCATGATAATAGGCAATTTTTTTAAAGAAATAAAATAGTTGACATTAACCTCCTAGCCCCATCAATTAATTACAAATCTAGCCAAGTAAAATAAAAAAAAATGGCTAAATGTTCAGTTACTTACCCTTATCCATTTTCTCTTTGATGCCAACCTCATTTCTGTTACAATCTATTGCTTCCTCTCTAATGCTAACAAATCTTCTGTTTGGAGCCAAAAGGGTGTTATCTCAAATCATTTTATACAGAGTTAACACCCTCCTGGCTCTAAACAGGCAAAATACTCAAATGATGTCTTGTTTTGCCTCCCTTTTCTTTGACTAAAGTTTGAGTATCAGTCAATCATCTACCATACAAGGTGATCACATTGACTACAGAAACATGCAAAAACTGCCAAACCTCTTTAGATAATCTGACAATACTTTCTACAAACCACACAAGATATTTTGGTTATTTGTAAAACATGTTCATCCTGATTCTCATATTCTAATTTTGACAATGAATGAATAATTACTCACAATTACTCAACTATGTAAGGATGCTACAATGTTATTTCGATTGATTATGTGTGATTGTTTAATTTGTTCAAATGCATATATTTATCAATAAAACCATTTTACAAACAAAATTTTTAAAAATTAAAAAATGATAATAATTACTTACCTTGCTGTCTGGTATTCCTCTTGACCTCCCTGATTGCTGACCTCACTTTCCTACGATCATTGAAGTCCCTCGTCTCAGAGAGCTGCCAATGATTCAAGAGAGATTTAAAGTTGAATGGTTTGTCAGGAATTTGTGATTCCATCGTCACCATCTTGATGATCTTCTTCTTATCAACAAAATATTACACAAAGTTAAGACTTTGCTCTATCCACTAGAGAGATTTCTTCTGAAAAGTTACAAGAACAAGTTCTTTTTCATAGACGATTACAGAGTAGAAACTTTCTTTGATTCGCTATAATAATCCTTTTGAAAATGTTCAAATACAAGTTGTCCTTCGTAACAAAGATTGAAGAGAGTCAAAGCGTTGTGCCATTCACTAAAAATATCCCTTTTGAAGAATTTGCTGAAATTGGTTCTTTCTCAGAAACGATAGCGGAGTTCAGATTTAGTTCTATTGTCTGGAATTATTCCTTCTATAACAGGTGAGCAGGTCTGGTAAAAATGCAGCTGAGTTAATAATAAGTACAGTTCTATCAGTCCACAATGAATGTCGTCCTCTATGTGAGCCTTCTATGTGATTCATACACAGGGGGTAATAAAATGCTCTGTAGCTAACACTTGTCCAACACAGCAAAAGTTACTTCAAGAAATCACATTCCCTAAATATGCAGATGTTCTTTTTTATATCCTTCTGAAAAGAAATGTATATCTGAGACGCTGAGATCAAGTTTTGTCAAAAGTAGAACATTTGTGGACAAAAAATATCACCACTGTTCAAAATATCACATGACTGAGATATTTCTATATTAGTAAATTGATCCTGGAATTCATATGTCTAGAAGAAAGATCATTTGGTGTAAAACGGGATTGATTCTTCAAATTCCTTAAAACAAGCTTTTGTAATCCTAGATTTCACCAAATTCAAGCGCGAATTCGATACGAAATCTTGATGAAGTTGATCGTCTAGCTGTCTCACATTCTTAGCATTCAATCCAGGTTAATGTTCAGGAGGCGTATCTTAAAGTCTGTCACTGCAAGTGTTGATATGATTAAACAAACTTTCCCTTGGAGATAATCTTTTATTCTGAAAGTGGCTATGGCAATGAACAGCTACATCCATTTAAACAGTTGACAACATGAGGCTTGCAGCATTTCAATCATCACTACACATCTCTAATGAGCTGTAACACTCTGACAGTAGCTCCTACAGGAGACGAGGATCACGCAATAATCATACAACAGATTATCGTTGCGGTAAGGGATGACAAATTATGACAACTCTATCTATAAACATATCAAGCTTAAGACAGTTAAACAATTCCTGTTTTGTCCAGGGTAACACCTGTTCTCCACTCTATATTCGAGAGGAGTTAACGATGATGTAACAGCGAGTCCAGGAGCGATAATTGTCCAGGAAATTTGTGGGAAGGAATCGTTCACAGTGCAGGAGATAAATGCTTCCAACGGTGCAGGAGCTGGAGATTATTCACTGAAATCCGGGAATCATAATCATCATCAGTGGTCGTCGTTCCAGGAGTCGGAACACCAGATTCTTCAAAGCGTTCAGCTTGATTACAAAACTTTCTTTACTGATGGCATTTGAAAGAGGTAGAATTTATTTTGGAAAACGTTGTCACTCTGCACTCTGGTGTTGTGATGGATCGTCCACTGCTGGTGAGTGTGGCAGTTCTGACAAGTTCAGAAGGTGACAATGGGTGAGAGCTAGGTTGGAAGATGTTGATAACATCATAGGTAACACAGATCAGATGTGAAGAAATGACAGAGACAGAGAGAGATCAGATGCACTAAGGAACATGAAGAACAAGACAATCAATCGAACTGAACAGGATGGCTCCCTTGAAAAAATGGAAACTTTTCTCGGTTCTGGCTGTGACAAAAGTACATTGCTGGTGACAACCGTGAATCAGGTCTCCCACGAAATAGAATCCTTCCCACAAAGTAAGATCCTTCCCAAATCTTTAAGAATGTCATGCCTTTTTTTGGTCTGCATTAATCTTGTGATGCAGGAAATAGAAACAACCCATGGTCAGCTCAAGGCTCTGAAGTAAAGACCCAAAATAAAGTTTGTTTAATCCGATGAGGACTTTCATGTCCAATAGGTATCACAGCTATCCTTGAAGGCTAAAGTAAGATGAAAATCAAGAAAGTTCAAATTATTGGCTCAAGTCTTATCATAATGAAGCATTCCAAAAAGGTGTGGGATAGGACATATGACTTACAGGGGTGAACGTTTCAAGACAAGAACCTAAAGAAGGAGAGGTTTTGATAAATAATAAGCAGCAAGGACATTCTGTTGACAGAAAGTATCAAGTTGAAGCAAATGACCACAAGAACATGATCTGGAATGAAAATGTCATGGATCCCTTCTAATCATGTTTTTCCACAAAGTATTTTGATAGGCTGCTTGAGATCTGGGGGCTGGTCAGGTCTTAGCGCGTCTTGACTCACTAGATCTCTGTGCCGAGTGACTCAGGAAACCCTTGCTAATTACCACTGTGTGCCCATAGCCCGACAGTATTACGTGGGCTCAGTCATGCGATCTCCCAAATAACTTTGATATCAACTTTTTTGAAAGACTTGCTCAAACTTTGCAGCCCCATGCATCCAGGCTGAGAGCGCATGTCGGAATGGTTCATTTTTAGTCAGAAAGACGATTCATGTTCAAAATCACGTCACATGTTAAGACACTGGATGAAGCGTTTCCTGTCAGCGCGTGATTAGAGACAGATGGTGAAAAAATAGCTAAGAAGTTGTAAGAGGCCAACAGTTAGAAAACTCAAATTAATGCAACGTCGCATGAAACTCTTCACAGAATTAAAATAAAGGGACTTTTGAAGAAGATTTCTTGGACCTCTCCTGTCCTGGGTCTGTCCTGGTGTATATGCCAACAGAATAGCAAGGTGGATGTGTCATACTCCTAAAGTAGGACCAAGGAGATACCAGCACTTTGTAATATCTCTTTGGTAGGACTGACAATAAATCTTCAACTCACATAAAAAATAACTCTGTGCTGTAACTGGTCCAAACCATCCATGCTCTTCATTATTAACAGCCTTGAAGGACCAATAACCAAGCCTTTACCTGGCTAATTAGTGCAATTGCAATATGAGCTAGGGTGCAACTGACTATAAATATTGGTCTGAATGTCTCTATTTGTTGTCTGGTCTGTACTATCAAGGTTTCTCTTAATTGGTTGTAATGTTCTCTAGGTATTTCCTCTAAGACTAATGGATGATGAAGTGTTTTCACACCTATCCTCAGAAAGGCATTTGAGGAAATGGCTCATACTTTGGGATTTATACAGCTTAATGAGGGGTTGAGGCATCATTACACATCCTTGGGCAGTTGCAAACATTAGTTCACTGATTCTGATTCTGAAAACATTAGTTCACTAACACCACAAAACCTTATAATGTTGAATTTCATAATGTGCCAAACACATGACTCTGTATACCGTCTCCCCTTATTTTGACAATATTACTAAGCAGAACTGCTCCTAATCATTAGAGAAATTCATTTTGATTGGCTGCAGTGTTGTAAAAACAGAACATGTTCATACACTTCCAGTGTTTTTTTAAATAATGTATATGAATTCAATTATTAGGACTAATAAATGCACCTCTTCAAAACCATGTTTTTTAAATAAATCCGACACCTTGTCTAAACATGAGATTACTCTCATTAGGCGCATTTATACTGTCAAATACCTCATTTTGAAAAGTCGCGATGTTTCGTGCACCCGGTTACACTTGTGCTGAAACATCACCGACGGAGCTGTTCAGCGATGTTTTGGCGTGTTTCGGTTGGTAATGCGCATGTGCAGTCTTCCCGACCTTTGACCCCGGCCTCCTATAAGATTTTTAGCGCGCGCAATTTCCAGCTAGCGCTATAGCTAGCTAAATAGCGATACATCCCATGCGCATGCATGCGATATGTTTTGTTTATCTCGCGTGTAGTATTTGAGGCAAGAGTGGATAAGTTACGAAGTACGGACTACGGCTGCTGATTCAGTTTTCCCAAATTCAATCGAAATCTAGTAGTAAAAACGATATGGGAAGGTTAAGAAAATCATCGTTGTTAATTGTTAATTTCATGCTTTCACTCATTTCTCTGAAGCCCTTTTCCCCACGTTTGCAGGGACGCTTGGAAGTCTGGTGGAGGAGCTCTCCCTGCCTCCACATCGAAATCAAGAACTTCATCTCATCATCAGTCCAATGGGAATTGTTCACTTCCATATTAATTAATCTAACAAAACACTCAAATACTACTACTAGACAGATATGGCCAGACGGGAATAACGAAGATTGAATAAAGGATGAGTTAACGGAATTGGAACAAACGGAGCTGAATGAACGGATAACACGCGCGACGTTGGAAATGCTATAAATATCACACGGGAAGAACGTGGTTTAAAAGAGCGCGGGTAACAATCCGGAAGTGCCGGAAGTCACGTGCCTAACATCGCGATGTTACAACTGCGAGCGGTTATACTTGCCAAACACGCCAAAACACTCCAAAACACGCCAAAAGATCACACTTCGTTTTGGAATGTTTGGGGCTTGGCATGTCTGCCGGTAAAGCGTAGTTGCCCTTGGTAACATCGCGGCCAGGCTCCGGTTTGGCATTTTTTGGCGTGTTTGGATGACAGTGTAACTGCCCCTAATTAGAATGTATGCAATTGTGCATTTCTATGATTGTCACTTTAAAAGCATTTTGATAACAGAATTAGAGGTGATAAAGACCATGGGTGGTATTCTGTTAGCGTGTACTAAGTTAGCGCGCACTAAGTTAGTCCACACTTTTATGGAGTGCCTGTTGTCAACTTATTTATCCTGTACAGATTATTTTAATCCTTCAATGAAAAGTCTCCAAAAAATTAATTTTGCAATGAAATGGGAAGAAAAAGATAATATGAGTATGAACTGAATTTCCAAAAAGTCTTTGGTAGATTATCTTTGTCATGAATATTGAAGGAGGAAGATGAAACCTAGCATTCCATAGAAGTGTGAACTAAAATTCTTGTTTAGTCTGGACTTAGTCCCGGCTTAACTTATGAGAATACCACCCCATATTTAGAGAAATCTCCCAAATAATTGGTCACCAGTGTAACATATATCTCATTAATTTATTCAATTGAGTATTATCTTAAAAACCCTGACAGAACATTGGGTCTGCATACAGAGATACCAGCTACATTGAGGGAACCTGCCCCCCCCCCCCCTTAAAAAAGGGGTTTGTACTGGTTTGTACAAATCAATGCCAAATATTAGCAGAGAAAAGTTTGTGATATAGATTAATCATTTGATTGATAGTTAGATGTGATAAAATGTATATTATAAACATTATTAATATCAAAATTGGTATTGGCTTAGCCTATATTTATTTCCAAAGATGCAATGAAGAGAATCTTAATTTTCCTTTAAATAATAATTGTTATGTCTTTAATAGTTCAAGAGAGAGATCCTTTCAAAAGGTACATTTGAAAAAGCTTACGGTAATATTAAACAACACCAGGGTGATGCAATTTAGTATTTAGTATTAATATAGGTCTGAAACATAGGTAAAACAGTCTGAAACTATGTGCATCTTTATCTTCTACCTACAGACTCTGGGATTCAAATGCCTCTGGAAATAATCCCCCCCCCCCTCCCCAATTCATTCCAAAAAGTATAAATGGCATGACCCAAGTCAATACAGCTGAATCACTTCAGCAGCCAAGCGAGACAAATCAAAGCCAAATGATACTCTACGTCATAAGCCAGACACAAACCCATCAATTACATCCTCAATTGGCACCTAGACACTCTGTACATCCATTGATAGACTGCTTCAAGCCTTCAACTACTGAGGGCTCCCTTCCTTCGGCAATCAATTCAGATTTCAATTCCTCAGAGGGATTGGGTATCGGGCCCGTTACAGCTCTGACAGAGCTTACAAAATGTCGCAGCAGAGGATTTTTGAGCAAAATAAAGGAGATACAGGAGTTTTGTACAAGGTTAATTATCATTAATACATCATTAAAGGTATTACAAAGTTTGGGTATGGGGTCATGAATTTGGTTCAAATTAACATATTGGAAGCATATGAGTTCCTACAATATCCATTGATCGTTGTCGCGGTTGAAATCCGAGTCTAAAGTTATGAAATTATAAATAATAAACTCTTTATGTTGTACAGCTCCCTCTCAAGGTCAAGATATTAATTTAGCTATGAAACAATGTTTCTAGACTAAAATCGACTGATTAGCTATTCCCGTTTGGAAATTATATATCACAACTACATATTCTGAGATTTTCATGGTCGCAACTACCATTGCACGGCCATAGGCGCTATTTGAAATTTATCAAAATTTACCGGGAGCACCGGTAAATTTTTATATTCAATTTTCTTGAAAACAGAAGTGTTTCAGGGGCTAATCTTTTTAGTGCTTTTAATACATCCACAGGGGCATCCAAATATATTACAATTGTAAAGATTCACTATCCACCCAATTTTCAAAATTTCCCAAAACTTTGTATTACCTTTAATACCACTGGTAAAAGTTATATATCAGACACATGAAAGTTGTTTCTCGGCTATCAAGAATATTCATAAGTGGCACCTTAAAAGGCATTAAATATTTGCTCAATTTTAGTTTCAATTAAACTACCTTTCAACATTAAGCAAAATTGGTTGAACTTCCAGTACTGTATAATGTTCATGAGTTTTATCCAATCTTTATTTTTCTTTCCATGTTTCATGAGGCAACATCATGACCCAATTGCCTGTATTCCCAGGCACTTCTCTCTACACCACTCCATAATAAAGCCGTCTCTTCAAGGTGTTGGATGTAAGCAAGGAGTTACCAAAGCGAGCATAACTCCTTGGTATAAGGAGGGCAGGCTTCTCTCCCACATTAGCCATTGACCCCAAGGCTTGTGAGAGGTATACACCAGAGGATTGAGCACCAGGCAAGGTGTGAGCCACACCAGACCCCAAGTGACATCATCCATTCCAGTCTGCTTCAATGAACTTCCACAATCTATGTTCCCACTGAAGTATAGTTCAGGTTTTTTGTTTTACTTGACTTGTATATATGTATTGTTGTTATTTTCTATTCTTTCTTTAATTATCTATTCATTATTATCATATTGTATATACAGTATTCTATATTTTGTATTATTCAATAGACCTACAGAAGAACAGTCTTCTGACTAAGGTAGGTTACCCTTGCTTAAATCATATAAAGTAAATCAAATCAAATGATATTTTTTCTGTATAGCCTGCTATGACCAGTTGGCAGATTTTGTATGAGGATATGAGAGTGTCTGGCCTCTTCCAAGTGGATGTTAAAGACAGAAAAGCTTGGAGATGGGCCTTTAAGGAAATGTAATGTTCAACTCCACAACATGGGAAGATTAAACGTTAAACGGTGATGATTATGTATTCAATCTTACTTTCATGATGCTGTGATTTTGAAATCATGCATAACAGTGAGATTTGTAATATATTATAAACATACTTCTTATTTGATAGTAAGGTAAAATAATAAAATTTTATATATGAAACTAAAGTACCGTAGTGAAGGCAGATAGGCCCATATGAACTGCCAAGTAGATAGATATCAAAGTTTGAGAAGATCTTTGGGAGTCTCAAGCAAGGGTTTGTGTAGTAGTGTGTGTTATCTTTCCAAGGTAAAAATGTACATTACACAGGTCTGACATACTTCTAGCAATCATGTACATGTATATTTTACTCATACTCATTTATCAAATAAACTTTAAATTTTGTCTAAACATTTTTTTTTAAAGATTAGAAAATTATTTTTTCCTTCTTTGTCTTTGAAAATTTGATTCAGATGACTACTTTAATTTCACTACATGTATTTCACTCCCTTACCAGTTTAGTTAACTTCTGTTCATCATTCCCAGTTGCCTTTATCTTCATCTCGATGTCCACCAATGCTTCATTTTCATCATCCCCCTCCTCTCCTCCTCCTCCCCCTCCTCCTCCTCCTCCTCCTCCTCTACAAGCATCCATCTCCCTCCTCCTTCGAGGCCGGTATAAGATGTCATCATCCTGACTCTGCTTCTTCGTCGCGACGTCTATCTCCGGGCGTCGCCTACGTTCGGCTCGGAAGGATTGGTGGTGGGAGAGCTTTGCCGGGGAGATGGGTGTACGGATGTGGGGATTGACCACTGAGTTGTTATTGTTGGTCCGGAGTTCACGGAGCGCTGCCCGGATTTTCCTGCGCTCTGTGATGTCGGAACTTGTGTCGAGCTGCAGGTCAAGAAAATTTTAATCAGACAGTTATAATACAAGATTTGGTGAATACTGGTAAAATGAAAAGAACACTTCCCTGAAGATCAATTTTCATTGCAATTTACTGACACATATACATGTAATTGTTCAACTATCTACTACATTGTAAAATAAATGAATTCTAATCGTCTATGAATTTTAAACATGAAATAAAATATTCACATAAATTTATCCCTCAAGTGTAATAATTCATTTCAAGCATGAGCCTAGTGGCATAAGTGAATGTACTTCACTTTTTTTCCCAAAGATATCTCACAGTTTTAACATGAAAACACTTTTCCACTTTCATAGGCATAAAAAAAAAAGTTTTTATTTACCACAGAATACAAGTGAAATGCACCGAGTACAATAACCTTACTGGTACATGTATTATGCGCAAGAAAATAGAACAGAGAGGTCACAGACCTACAGATTAAGTATGAAGAGCTGTTTAATTGCTAATAATCGGTGGCACAATTTACAGAATGCATTGTCTGACGCACACACTAATTTTCGTCCCTGAACTACATTCATGAACAATATCCCACCAAGTATACATTGACAGACATTGATGCATTGCAGACTTATTGACAGGGATAAACAATCTAGCCTGGAAGATACATATGTGCATCATGTCAAGATCGCCAATATTTGAGCACCAGGGAAATAAGTGTGCTGTAGCGATTTGGATTGGAACGTTGTCATAGAAACCAAAGAATATATAGGGGAAAGGAACAAACAAAATTGCTGCACAGTGATGGAAGTCAGTTTAGAGTGGGAAAATCATCAGTCAAGCCTGAATATCAATGAAATCCAAAATGAACAGAAAACCCTCCATCTACCATCTCTCTCTCTCTCTCTCTCTCTCTCTCTCTCTCTCTCTCTCTCTCCCTCTCTTTTTCTCTCTCTATCTCTTTCTCCCTCTCCCTCTCTTTTTCTCTCTCTATCTCTTTCTCCCTCTCCATCTCTCTCTGTGTCAGTCTCCTCAGTTTGTCTGATCGTTTTGTATTCTCTACCCCCTCCATGAATATACATGTAAAAGTGCTGTCCATCTTAAGTAGATCTTTTCAATTGTCCATTATTTCCTTCTTTCTCTATTTCTTCAATACCTCACCCCCTCGCCTACTTTCTCTTTCTCTCTCTCTCTCTCTTTCTCTTTCTCTCCCTTCCTCCCTCCCAATCCCTCTATTCTATTGCTCTCTGTTCTTCTTTCTCACTCTCTCCTCCTCTCCATCTCTTTCTCTATCTTCTTCCTCCTCCAATATCTCTATCCCCAATCTTCCCTCCCTTTTTTGTCCAACTGTCCCACCTCTCCCACCCACACCTCTTTAAGATAAATTAATTCAGGACAACTTGCTAACACTCATGTAATTCCCCTCTGCTACCAGCCAGCCTGACCTGAGGGGTACATGTCAGGTACCCCACCCACCGGGAGTCGCCCCACCTGCGATACAAACACAGGTGATCAGAGTACAAGGATTCCTCACACACAGCCAATCATGGTTTGTTTATCAATGCCAACATGTCATTGCACTTTACCATTGCACTGCACGAGATCTGTTATTATATTAGTCTTGCCTGCAGAAACTATTTTCAGGCAGTTTGTAGAAGCTTAGTAGTGTGTAAAGCTTTAATTCATCATTGAAAAAGATATATGATCAATTGACTGGGGTGCACACAAACTTTACATGGGCTTTCCTAGTGCTATTCAACTTTTTCAATAAATTCTTTAAAATGCTTGGTAAAACAAGTTCAGAAAGTGTCATCTGAAATTAACAAGATTCATGAAAGACGTTTATGTCATTTCATTTTCTTTATTATTCTAGGGTATTTTGTAAATACACCTGTGGGAATATTGTAAACATTACCTAAAAATGTCATCTTTGTCATGGAGATAGTTCACTGAATGTTCTAAATCACTTTGGATGGGTATTTTGTAATTTAATGATGGGTATTTTTGTGGGGTACAAGCGTAGGTGATGGAATAGGACCACCAACCATTCTGACACCTGTTATCCTTTATTCCATGACTGACTATCCAATATTTAATATGATTTTGTAGAGACCTGTGGTGATTGATGGAGATGTTTTAATCTGCAGAAGTCATTGGGTCATCGGTCAAACACAATGCATGGTCAAGTTTGGAACTAAATAGGTCTAGGATAATTTGTGATGGTCAGTGCAGCAAGGGGTCAGTGAAAATTTGTTTGAATGCAGGGTAGAAGGAAGGATTGCAGGGAGATCCATAAAGGACCAGTATCTTCACACAGATTTACTTTAACAATAAATATGTCTAACTCTATATTAAATCGGTCTCCATATGTTTTCATATGCAATTTGGTATTGGAGGTATAACTGATCTAAGAATATCAGTCCTGAAGGTATAGAAAGAAACTACATATCCATGTTGAGCTTCAATTCTTCAGTTCTTACAATGACAATGTAATCAATGGTGTAGTAGGAGGTGTACAGACAAGCCACTTAATTCTTATTTAGACATTTATGGAGATACTGCCTTATAAACCCAATCTTTAAACCTGCAATATGTTTTCCCATATGTGGTCACAAGACCAAATCTATCATTAGCTGATGCTACAGAAATTAGTTTGGTTAACCTGAAACAGAATAACAATTCTTTGACAAACATCAGACTATAGTAATCGAGCATTATATTAGAATAATCATGCATGTGGTCATGTCATCATTCACTACCGATGACAGAGTCTTTAGTAAGGATACATTATGGGATTAATATGTCTAACTGACTTAATTAATCTTCTGCCCCTCCCCTCTCCCCCCCCCCTCCCCCCTACCCCTCCCCCCTCTCTCTCTCTCTCTCTCTCTCTCTCTCTCTCTCTCTCTTTCTCTACTCTCTCTCTCTTCCTATCACTCTCTCTCTCTCTCTGCATCCCTCTCAGTGATTATTTAATTTCCTTTTACACAGTTTGCTTTCAATGCAGAACAAATTGGACAAATATTGTAACCTAAATTTGTGTGCATTTTTTTTCTCAGCCTCCTATAAATTATGGACCAAAATTGGCTAAATTTTCTTGAAAACATGTATACCTATAAAGAGCATAGTGGATGATGTAGTTTATGTGAGGTGTTAAACGCAATCTCTCTCCAGGCTAACTGACCCGTGGTGCGCTTAACACGCCATAGAGCGCTGAGGCGATTAATAAAACGTAATAATGGAGAGCAGTCAGGCGACAAGTTCTTGGGAGGGGTGATGCTTTTAGTTTCGAGCTGGGAGTAAGATGGATGAATTCTTCTTCACAACACTCCTAACAGTCTTATACAATACAATACATTCTGAACATCTGCTAAGATTTAAATCATGTAAAAGCTGTTTACAACTATATTTTATGGCACACAGAGGAAAATAAATTAACATTTTTAAAATTTGTTTGGAGGCGTCTTTTTTAGAGGTAAAATTAGATTTCCTCTATGCAAATTTGTTATATATTTTGTGGTGGGGGTTTTCAGAGGGTGCTTTTTCATAATACCATGTAATACTATCATCAGAAAATACATAATAACAAACGTAGAGAAAGTTTAATAGGCCTTTGTTTGTAGTCATATATTGAATCCAATGAAAAGTGTCAACGATATCAGTTGACAGGTTAATTTGCATATATGTGAACCCTGCACCGAACGTCATATAAACTTGCTTAAGTTGATGAATTTGGCCATTGTATTCTAATCTTCTACATTCCAACTCACTGGTACCATAACGGCACCTCCTTGAACTTGATCTATCGAAACAAAAATAGCTCTCCTATATAATTTCATTCCAGAACAATTCATCAATTGCTCAGTGCTCCATCCTTTCCTTCTTTCCTTCTCCATACTTCCCGTGGGCGACTCCACTTAGAAAACAATGAACTTGCAGTGATAGATCTGCATGATGCAAGATGGGAGTAGGACAAAAATAGCAGAACTCTGCCATGATTTGATTGCTCTAAACCGCATCATTGCTCAGCACCATAACACGTCCGGGAGCTCAGCTGGCCAACATGTACCTTTGTGGAAAATGCTAACAAGCATCACTGTTTTCAGTTCAATGCAAATTAATTTACATGTCAAATTTGCAACAAAGGAATATTTTCAACAGTTTGTGTTCATTGTTTTCTTTCTCTTCAACAAAAAAGACTATTGTTTAGATTCAAATGATGTTCAATAAATGTTCATAATTCAGTCTTAAAACTAAAAACAGAATGCATAATTCCATGAAGACTCTGAAGGAGAATACCAAAACAATTCAATATAAAGTAAAGTATGATCTTGAGACAAAATATACGGGTCTCTATGGTAGTGACTCAAATTTAAAAACAATAAGTATCTACATAAAATTACAAGCACCTGTACAGTAGATGCTTAGAAAATTATATGTATAATTTAAAAAAAAGAGGTTTCTTAGCTTGTTGTTAATTTCTTCAGACAATCCTAAAGTGTAATGACACAATAACAGATCAGCCCACCAGACTGCTATAACTATCCTTATCCTGACGGACCACTACTGGGTAAGCCATCTACTCCAGTTTTATAATGATATCAATTACTAGGCCTACATGTACTTCTTAAAATATATAACCTACGGTAGTCAAATAATTAAGGAACATGATTTCCTAAGGGGAAAATGTAAAGGTATTTTCCAATTTAAAGATGTAAAATTCTATTTTTATTATTGATATATTCTTCTGGCATACATGTACAGCATCAATAATCAAATGAAACTAACTTTGCTGGATGTTGGAAGTCATGGTTTAAAGCTCATTATTTTATTACTTTTACATCAAGTTTCACACTAAAAATATATGTTAAACATGGCATGAGACTTAGAAAACAAGCCTATCGCAAACAAGTCATTCTTACATAGCTCTCTGATACTCTCATCCTGAAGTCTACGCAAAATCATGCTACAATCTATTTAAAAGAAATTAAAGTTACCTCCCCTTTAATACAAGTTCATCAAAGGGTCCGAGGTCTCAGCCCAAACAAACCATAATATTTCTCTGTAACCAAACACGTATGATCAGAATCTAATAATGAACGAGGTAGAAACTGACAAGAAGGATCATCCGGTCTGGTCAACGATGCGTCATGCTGTTTGGGATATGTTTAATCGGGCTTAGAAACCGAATACACGGAGGGAAGTTTAGCTGGATCAAGCTGGGATAATCAAAATATATCCATGGCTTTAACCTCTATGCACATGTGGGTCATCTTAATTCATTATTGGTGAAACTTATAGTGCCTTACGTTGGCCACAGCTAAAATGAATACAGAAGCATGTAGTTTTCAGGATATCCTTCTTCTTTCACAACACACTTAAGATTTGGTTTATTAATAATGGGAAAATCAGACTACTGCTTTAGTTTTTGTTCAATATGTATCAACAACAAAAAAGCTCAAAACCAGAGGAGATGAAGGTTAGTTTGGTATCACATAACATATACTTTGTGTATTCAGCAGAAGTTGCAAGGCCAGTGCTATGCTTTTTTTTTTTTTTTACCATTTGTCTTTGATAGGTTCTAAATTATTTTTCATCTTCATTACAAAACTGAAATACCAGTATTGAACCAAAAATTGACAAAATTTCATGTTCGTATCCTTCTGCCAAGGACAAACAAATTTACTTTACCAGTATCAGAACAGATTACACAAGTCAATATTTACTGAAAGAAATTTAAATATACAGAGCCAAACTGCATCAGTCAAGAAAGGGGCAAATCAGATAATATTCTTTGAGGTTTACTGTAAATACAGAGATGATGAAGGGGCAGTTTGAGTAAATCATGTAAACTAAAGAATCACAGGTTGAAAAACTCTTCAAATTGCTTCAATTGACTGAACTGGAAAGAATCCCCTGCATTATACATGGATCTAGCCAAGACAATTAGTGAGAAGCAAACCTGAGAAGCATTGCTAAATTTCCCACATATCAATCACACCTAGCAGTATAACATTTAGAGATCTCCGTAAGCTAATCAGGCAAGGATGAGATCCAACCAATTGGATACACACTGGTTCAGTGTACTGTGTGTACAAGATACTAGCAGGGGAAGATGTGAAATTGGTCAGCTCTTCCTCTCTCGATGTACATCTCTATACAGCTCTCCATCTCTCTCTCTCTTTCCCTCTCTTTCCCCTCTCTCTATCTCTCTCTCACCCTCTCTATATATTTCTCTCTCTCTCTCTCTCTCTCCCCCTCTTTCTATATATTTCTCTCTCTCTGTCTCCCTCTTTCTATCTCTCTCAAGCGTTGTCCATCTCTTTGTCCCCTCCTCTCTCTCTCTCTCTCTCTATTATATTCTCTCTGCCAGCCTTCCTGTCTCCCTCTTTCTTTCTTTCTTTCTATCTCTCTATCTCTCTCTCCCCCTTGCTCTCTCTCTCTCTCTCTCTCTCTCTCTCTCTCTCTCCATCTCTATTCTATTCTCTCTACCAGCCTTCCCCTTTCTCTCTCTCTCTCTCTCTCTCTCTGTACATCTTTTCATCTTCTTCTTTTTGTCTTCTTATCATTTTCAGCTCCACCTCCTCCTTCTTCCTCCTTGCCATTACACAGGCCTACTTCCATAAATATGAGGTTAAACCCTCTCATTCTTTAATATTACCTAGATTCCATTTTGCTTTCTACATCACAGAAGCAACTGAAATTTTTTCTCAACATCTTAATTCCACAGAAAACAGACAGTGATTAATTCAATGTTAGCTAGTTAAATACAAGAATGATTTTGCTAGTGACCTATGTACAATCATTTAATTCTAAAATAGAATATAACTGTAAAGCTAGGTTTCGTAGGTTTACCTATCTGTGTGCAGAGAGATCACAGCTCTGGGATATTTTGCATTTAACTGTCCACTAATTTGGGGGACAGATTTAGAAATATAAGATGATCTTTTGTCCTCCTCTTCACAAAAGTGGGGGAAGCAGGGGTGTGTGAAAGAGATTATCCTTCTTTTATTGAAAGGATTAATCTTGAAAAGAACAGTTTATACACTATATCAATAAGCTGGCAATTGAGGTTGATAAATAAGTTTACTTTTGTTCAGAATCTCTTATGCATGATAAAGAGGAAAAAGTTGGGATATGCAAAGGACCCATTGGCCTATATCTTGCATCAAGAAGGAAGAAATGCTTGTCTAGATATGGCTTCTCCTTCACATTTCCTTCAGTTTGTCTTCTTTCATCTTTCTTTTCTCATCTTCTTCCATCTAATTTCATTGTATCTTTCCACCATTCTCTCAATCTTCCCTCTCCTCCTTTTAGAACGCTCATTCCCCATTACACTAATTTTCATTCCAGCAGGATTATATAAGCAATACTTTATATTCGCCAAATCCTCTTTGTAAATCAATATCAAGTTTCTATTTCAGAATTAAGCAGGGTAATTAGAAACCCATATTTCTCAGATCTTTCAAACTGGAATTAGTGACACAAATTGTAAATTGAACTATTTTAAACAATGCATTTTTAATAAATCTTTGAGATGACATTTGAAGCCACTTCGGTATTTTGTCCTTCTATTCTTCACATAATGTCACCTATTACATTCAAGATCATCATCGCATCAATCTTCTCATTTTCTTAATGACCCAGTCTGTCTCGATGCCTTGTTAATCACGGATCTGACGAAAGACCGCCTCGGGAGAATTCTCCATTCATGTGAAGTTGGAAAACATGTTCGGCTGTCAGCGAGAAGAGACGCATCAAAGGGGAAATTGCACGGAACAATGCCTTGATAATGATGGATAACATGCAAAGTTCAATTTAAATCTGCTCCTCCAGGCTCTAGGCTCGGGAATGATTTATTGCACACCTATGACACTAGATAGTTTTCATTCTAAACCTCTGTACATGTACAAGCATATGTCTGTCATACACACATGTACAAGTGGAAAAAATAGAGATCTAAATTTCTGAAAAAGGTTTTAACAATTAAAAACAAATGGTTGTTCTCACCTTCACAGTCTGTACATCTTTTATTGCAATTTTAATTACTTAATCAGGTTATCGTCTGCTGAGAGCCAGAAAGGGTGTATGCTCATAACAATTCACATACAAGTACCGGTAGTATTATCCCCCTTCTGACTCCCAACCAACATATGAAATTGTTTGGGTCTAGAAAGGCATTAACTTACATGTACTGTGGTTGTCGCTGGTCGCGTTAGACAGGTGGTCATTGTGGACAGGTTTTTAACTACATGAAATCTCACAGGGGGAATTCAAGTGGTCGCTACAGACAGGTGGTCGTTAACTTACATGTACCTAGTTCAATAAATGAACATGAAAATCAGTGACTACCTACATGTATATCACACATTCAAGAATTCAATTCAATTCAATTCAATTCAATTTATTTCATTCAGTTTTTTAGACAACATTTCATATAACAATCAGTTATATAACATAAAATACACATCAAGAACATATTGGACAAGGACATCAAATAAACTGAATAGGTTACAACCTGACAGGAAACATAATCCTTATATAAAGGTTGACCCTTTCTTTATAATAAAAATATGAAATATCTTTGTTACTATTGATGAACGAGGAAGGCAGCTTAATTAATTAAATGTAGGTCTCAATTTTCTAATAAAATCTGCCTACCAATAAATGAAAGTCTCTACTACATAAGAACATACATCATAAACAGACAACAGATGATGTTCGTATTGATCCAATGATATTTCATGCTGATCCCTCCCATACACAATTGAATCTTACT